TTAAAACAAAATCTGAACTCCCAGGATACCAGCCCGGCCCGTATGGCAGCTATCTCAGGGGACACCGACTCCGACGACCGCATTCAGGATATAGGCCAGTGTACTCGGTTCCTTTCCCCGGCGCGCAGTACAACAACGACTGCGGGAACCAGCTGCTGACATGCGTGGAGGAGGAAGACTGCAGCAAAAAGGTGCACGCGAATGGTAAGGAGGATTCTTGGGGGTATTTTGAGGGCATTATTGAACCTAGAAGGTAGGTGGAGCGCGATGTTGAAGGGAAAATGGAATGTCGAGATTAGAGATCCGTGGTGAAGCAGTTGAGAAAATGGACTCTCTTTTGGCCGTGTAGTTGACTGACACGGTGATAAAGTATGGATGAGACCGAATGACGCTAAAATAGATGGCAATGGCATGTTTCGATGTCTACTTTCACTGGAGTTCTACATTCAAGCGTTATTACTAATCATATCGGTAGAGGTTTGAGGAATCGTTTTATCTTTTAATTTTTCTGAACCGACTCCGCCGCGACCTTAGTTGATTTGAAGCTGGCGCGGTGAAAATGGTCTTCGTCGGTATGTACGAAGCCCCTTTAGTCGTATAAACAATTTTTACAAAGTTAATGGAAGCGTCATGCATAGATGCAGAACCTGTCACTTGCCATTTTTAAATCCTAGGGCGCAGTGGGTTCAATTGCGCATAAATGTCAAGGCAACGTAGATAAAGTATTGTAAAAAGTATCAAGTTCGTGTGTACTATTATCAACATCTCTGCTTCATCTTTGAACCGATTTCTTGCCACACATAACCGACTTGATAGGATTCACTTTTTAGTTTAAACTTTGATATATATCAAACCGTATTACCTAAATCCTAATTCTTGTTCTTGCATTCTTCCCTCTTAAATAACCAACATTCTTTCCAGGGCAAACGGATGGGCAGATTTGCCCCCTTTCTTCATGTATGAAAAGAAGCTTGGATACTGTGCTACCGTTGAGTTTGAACAGAAGAACAACCTAGACGCGATGCAGGCGTGTGAGAGTCAAAACGCCAGGCTCTTGTTCTTCGAAAATTCTGCGGTGAGGATGCGATTAGCCTTTTTTTTCGCTGATTTTGTATTGTATTTTCCTAAATGTTAAATGGGCTCCAAGGAATTGCTGAAGTAGGGAACGCAGGGATAAGATTTAGGAATAGCTGAATAGCTGAATCTTGGTTGTGGTTTAGGTATTTTTTTTTTTTATCAAGACGTGAGGTCTTAGTGTAAAACCTTATGTCTAAGCATTTGCATATGCTTTACAATATAAATACTCTGAAGATCGCTCCTCTCTTTTTTAGTTTCAATAATAGTTTCCGAAAATCAACGGGTGGATTACATAAGAATGAAACGAATACACTTAGTCTACAGGGACTAATCCCCACCCCTATTAAAACAGGAATTCAATCAGATCGCCGAAATGAAGAAAAAGAACGAGACCTTCTTCTTTGGTGAGAAAACTTACTGGCTGGATGCTTACTACGACGACAAGAGCGAGACGTGGATCAGGAGGACCACCAGGGAGCCTATCATTTGGGAACAGTGAGTTGAGGGGGTTTGTGAGAGTGAAGGGGGTTTGTGCAGGTACGAGGGGGATTTGGATGGGTGTTCGTTGGATGCAAAAGGGGGTGCATTATTAGAGTATTCCTCTTATGACGTGATATCATTTACGTCGGTCCTTTAATCCCTTTTGCAGAGAATAAATGTGTAATGGAGTGTATAGGATATTGGTTTTCGTTTCGGTATCCTTAACATTGTGTGCATTGTCAGAGCAACGAATACAAACAAGTGCATAAAAAGTGTTTAGTTTGGTAAGGCTCTTCAGGGGAAAAAACGACTGAATCCCCCTCTCCATTCCCTTTCTACTAAAGTCGTCTTCTAAAAGTCCTATAATCTTAAACGAATCCAATCCTTCCTCTCCTGTAGGATCTTCTCGCAATTTACCCCGATCGTAAACACGACGACCAACCTCGAAGTCGTTCGGCATATCAACACGACGCAGCGCTGTCTGACGGTCATCTACAACTCGACGCATCCAGAGCTCCTGCAGGTTGAGAAGGCCAAGTGTTCAGAAAATAAGGAGATTGCATGCAAGCTAGGTACGGCGTGGAAGGGTTGGGTGGCGAAGGCTGGAAGAGATCCTGCAGCCTTCCTTAGTTATCAGGGGGGGATCTAAAACCTTTGTTCTTTTTTGATTGAATTTTGTTGCTGCGATTGTCAGTTGGGGACTATTCCAGCTCGGGGAGGGGCGGGGAGGTTGAAAAACTAAATCAGAATTTGATGGCTTTTGCCTACATATTAGATTAGGCTAGCATTGTAAGAAACTAGTAGGTTGTACAATGTTGTTAGACTATTCAGGAATTTTCCAAATTCGCAACCAAAAGATTTTCATGTATATATATTTTTTGTGGCTCTACTCCCCCCAGGGTTTTATACGAACAAATGCCGAGATAACAAAAATGTGTGCTGCTTTTCTACCACTTCGGACTACTACTTAAAGAACACATTGACAGGTAATTGTGTAATGATTATAATAAAACCATTTATTTCTTTAATCGCTAATTGGAAACAGGTTTTATGTGCAATCCTTCATGAAACCGATTCATTTGCCCAGTTTTCAAGGGATTAGGGAGTTGCAATAAGCTCTATCAAATGGAATTAAATTTGGAATGAATTGTTCTCTTCGAAATGAAACCCGCAGGTACCGGCAGCACCATTGGAGAAGCAGATTCAAATTGTTTCTTGGAGATTATAAAAGGAGGGAAGCCTGTCGTGGAGCCCTGTGATAAAGGTTTGATTTTCTTTGTTACTGTTTAGTCCAGTTTATAACTCTTGATTTGTGATTCTTGCTGCTTTCTCCAACCATTTCAATCCCTTTTTTCTTGTCCTTGAAATATTCAGGATTTTTCTTCATTACACCCTTTTTTCAATTGATACGCACCCTCCCTTCCACCCCCTCGTGCTTTTGCCTTTAGAATACGTGTGCACGCCCTCCCTCCCTGCCCCACCCACCCCTCCTGCTTTTGCCTTTATAATACGCTTCCCTGCCTTCCAGTGCTAGCCACCCTGGAGCCCTCCACGGTCAATAACACGGAGCTGAGAATCCCCTACCGCATTGGGTCGTCCTTCTTCTACTTGGACAACACGACGTGTCTGGGGAAGGCCGACCGGAAGGCTGTCGTGTCCGACAGGAAAGTCCACAACTTCATCTCTCGCTACCTGGTCATGGCCAACCTCGTGAAGAACTTGACTTATGACTCTTTCATCATCGGACTCCAGTACAAGGGCCACGTCCACAAGCTCATCTGGCAGAATGGTAGGGAGAATTGAGGTTTTTGAAGACGGTAACGGGATCATTTTTTACTCTTTGTGAAAGTTAAAGGGTGGGGAGAGGGAGAGGGGAAGGGGTGTAGGAGTTGCTCTTAAAACTTGGGTCCGTATGCTTTAGAGATTGTGTTAACGCAAGTCGGTGCTAAACCCAATTTTCTTTTGTTAGAATCATCGTGATTGTAGGGTTTTAAACGTAATTATAGGACCGAATCTTATTCTTATTCTCTTATTTTGGTATACCATTTGATTTTTTGCTGTATTCCTTAGTAGAGGATTTTGTGCTTCAAAGAGTGGATTCCACAATTTCTTTAAGGATACGGCCGTTATTTAGGAAGCTTTTAAGATTCTCAACACAATGTCTGCAAGAATGATTACAGTAAATACATCGGCAAAGCTTTTTCATAGAATTTGTGATAATACATTTTTTTAACCTCTTCAACCTCGTTTATATATTCGTCTTAAAAGCAAATAAAATGTCTGTATATACGAGTATGGGCATTCAGAACCCCGAAATACGTATTTTGTTAATCTATCATCTAAAAACTAAGTATCGATATGTTTACGTAAACAACTTTTTCAAGGTTGTAGTGCGCTAACGGACAAGTTATTTTTTATCTGACAATTTAAGTTTTTTTTTTCTCAGTTGGTCTGGGAACACGTTTTGAACACGCAAACCTTCATAGTATATGGCTGTGGATTATTTAACATGCATATACAGAAATATGTGCTTATCTATCAGATATCTACCATATAGGTTGATATACGAATGCATATATGTATTTCAGTATATATGCATGTCCGTGTATGTTCACCATAGATACATATAGAACACTATTCTATCCTCTCGTAAATGATTCAATATTTGATTAATTGCGATTTTTTTTAAAATCCAGAATTGTCTCCGCTCCCCCCCCCCGACAAAAGAAAGAAAGAAAGAAAGAAAGAAAGAAAAAATATATATATACATCCACAGGTAGGCCGTACGATTACTACAACGAGACCTTCTGGAACGGCTACCAACCCAACTTTGACAAGTTCGGCGACAGCCATAAGCCAGTGTGGGCCACTACGTCGTGTCGCCAATTGACTACCAGTACAAGTGGGAGCTGAAGGGCAACTGTTCAGCGTCTGCCACGGAACCCGCGATCTGTGAGCTACCCATGTGAGCAATGAGTGATTATAATTATTTTATTTATTTTTTTTTTATCCGTCTCCAGTGATTATTAGCTTTTTCCCTTCCATTATCCATTTTTGTCGCTTCTGTATGGTGTTTTTATTCTCTTAATTTTCCCTGTTTTATTTATTTTTTCAACTCTGTCGCATTCCTCCACTCCCATGTTTCTGCATTCGCTTTTTATTCCTTCCTGCCGTCATTTATCACCCATGTCCGTCGTAACTTCTCCCACTCCATCCACCTACATGTCACCTTCCTGTATACGTGTCATCTTTCCCCCCTCCCCCCCACCCAGCCGTTTCCTTCCTGCATCCGTCTCTTTCCCCCCTCCCCCCACCCAGCCGTTTCCTTCCTTCCTGCATGTCTTCCTCCCCCTCCCCCCTCCAGCCGTTTCCTTCCTGCATCCGTGTCTTTCTCCCCTCCCCCCAACCCCTCCAGCCGTTTCCTTCCTGCATCCGTGTCTTTCCCCCACCCCCACCCCTCAGCCGTTTCCTTCCTTCCTGCAAGTCTTCCTCCCACCCCTCCAGCCGTTTCCTTCCTTCCTGCAAGTCTTCCCCCCCCACCCTCCAGCCGTTTCCTTCCTACATCCGTGTCTTTCCCCCCCCCCCCACCCTCCAGCCGTTTCCTTCCTGCATCCGTGTCTTTCCCCCCACCCCCACCCCTCCAGCCGTTTCCTTCCTGCATCCGTGTCTTTCCCCCACCCCCCACCCCTCCAGCCGTTTCCTTCCTGCATCCGTGTCTCTCCCCACCCCCACCCCTCCAGCCGTTTCCTTCCTTCCTGCAAGTCTTCTCCCCCCCCCCCCTCCAGCCGTTTCCTTCCTGCATCCGTGTCTTTCCCCCCACACCTCACCCCTCCAGCCGTTTCCTTCCTGCATCCGTGTCTCTTTCCCCCTTCCCCCCTCCAGCCGTTTCCTTCCTACATCCGTGTCTCTTTCCCCCCCCCCCCACCCTCCAGCCGTTTCCTTCCTGCATCCGTGTCTTTCCCCCTTCCCCCAACCCCTCCAGCCGTTTCCTTCCTGCATCCGTGTCCTTTCCCCCTTCCCCCTCCAGCCGTTTCCTTCCTACATCCGTGTCTCTTTCCCCCTCCCCCCACCCTCCAGCCGTTTCCTTCCTGCATCCGTGTTCCCCCCTCCCCCACCCTCCAGCCGTTTCCTTCCTGCATCCGTGTCTTTCCCCCTCCCCCCAACCCTCCAGCCGTTTTCCTTCCTGCATCCGTGTCTTTCCCCCTCCCCCCCACCCTCCAGCCGTTTCTTCCTGCATGTCTTCTCCCCCCCACCCTCACCCCCCCAGCCGTTTCCTTCCTGCATCCGTGTCTTTCCCCCCTCCCCCCCCCCCACCCTCCAGCCGTTTCCTTCCTACATCCGTGTCTCTTTCCCCCTTCCCCCCTCCAGCGTTTCCTTCCTACATCCGTGTCTCTTTCCCCAGACGTTTCACCGACCTCATGCCGACGACGAAGAAGGTGACCTGCGGGATGCGACACCGGCGGGGCGTGTTGGCTCGTTCTGCCTACGCCATTGGCCACGAACTGCAGGCGCTCTACGGTGAATTCCCATGGCAGGTGAGGGCGAGAGTTTATTTTTAAGGAGGGCACAGCTGCCCAGAAAACTTAAGTTGGGGGGAGGGGGGGGGCGTCGAAGCATTCAATATTAAACGGGACCTTTTGTTACGAAAGGGTAAGTATTTTGGGATTTGGAATTTGTCTGGTTCTAATTCATGTCTAAAATGGTCGTTGCGGATTTATTTTGTCCAAAAGGGATGGAATATGCCTTGCGGTATTCAGATAATCCACACATACCCTTAGTTAGAAAATTAGGGATACCAGTAGTTTCGTAGTTAACAATTATTTGAAAAAGAATCTTTGCTAGTCATTGTTTTGCATGATTTTCTAACGATGTATTTTTTTTCCTTTTATCTTTACTTTGACTTTTTGCTTGTCAGTCCGTCATGAAAGGTATGCCTTTTTTTCTCAGCAAGATTTGTGTTGGACGGTTTTAGTTTCAAACGGTCGTCGGGAATTTTGGTCATGTCCAGCATCGTTTGAGGTTCATTCCGATAAGGCCACGTTCATTTACTGCAAATTTTCTTCATCTTTGATCGCTAGGTCTGTTAGTTTTATTTCTAGTATTTTTGAGAAGCCTATACCCCCCTCCCCCCCACCCCCCATGGCTGGTGACTAAACCCTTTCGCATTTCAGATAATCGGTTATTTCTATGAAACGGTAGAACCCTATATCAACCTAATGTCTTTTTTTCCCTCAGGCGGCCATCTATAAGGTTCGAAATATCGGCGGTGGTCTGCAGAGTACCTTCGTCTGCTCTGGCGTCCTCGTCGACAAAGCCTTCGTCATAACGCCCGCGCACTGTGTTGTGGGTCCTACCACGGACTTCACGGTGAGTGCAGGTCGTGGGGTCAAGAATTTTCAAAGGGGAAGTTAAACGAAACAGGAATTGAATCGCTTGATAAATATGGCTTAACCACTACGTTTGTTGATTATACCGGTAAAGCTTTTTAACTCGACGTCTGAGGAAAGCATCTCACCCCACCCTTTTTTTAATTAAGGGAATATTCTTCCACTTCCTCAGGTGGTTTTTGGGGAGTACACTCTCGGGGCGGAGGCAGCATTTTGGAGAGGCAGGTGACGGGCGTGAGCGATATCCTCGTCTATCCAGGTAAACGGAATTCGTCTTCCAAGATATGTTTTTCCCCGCTTTCCATTATTTTTGCTCTGCGCACAATTTGATACATAGGGTCTGCATTTGGAATAGCACACATCAGGGTCTGCATTTAGTACTTTTAGGTATTAATACATTAAATTCAAGTGTCTAGTACTTTTAACCATAATTACTTTTCCCTAATTTAAGTAATAATACAAAATTCGTGTCTACTCGTATTTTTAACTATAATTACTTTTCCCTAAAGGCTACGAGTCGACAAACCCGCTGGTCCACGACGTCGCCCTGGTGCAGCTGGACCGAGCCATCGCCTTCGACAACTTCCCTCAGATCGGCTTGGCTTGCCTGCCTTATCCGGACATCCTGTACCGGAATACGGGCGCTTGGGACTGTTTCACTGTCGGATGGAATGGCAAAGCAGGGGTAAGTTCCGGGTTTTAATCGCATCAAAAGTTTTGTTACATTTAAACGTAAAAGGGAGTAAAAATAACTTCTATATAACAAAATGGCGGCAGTTTTTCATTTAACTGCCAGTACTTCACAATTTCTTTAGGGGATTTGCCACAATTGATGCAAATTGAATATAAACGGTTTAAAAGTAGCTTAAATTGGGGTCGGGGGGGGGGAGGCAGTCTTGTTTATGATTGATAATCAGGTTATTTGAACAATCGGTCGTTAAAACAGTGATATAAACCACTCGATTACTTGCCTACCTACACCAGATATCCAGGTACACTTGCCTACCTACACCAGATATCCAGGTACACTTGCAAAGGGTCTTAGAACGCCTCATTAATGTTTTCTTATTTGTGGAGAGGGAGGGGGGGGGGCTCAAGACCCGTTTTAATGTGAAATTACGGCCTTGGGTGATAGACGACCATGGCATCCAGTAGACCATATAAAGCTAGAAAAGTTAATAAGCACACCCCCATGTAGTCTTTACTCATAGATTGCAAAACAAAAGCATCGTTAAAACTTGATTTTTAAAATAGATCAGTACGAATATTAAATCGCGTGAACGTAATAAAATCACGTTGAATCACAGATGGCGGGTGGATGTGACCTCCGCCCATATGCTAACCCAGCGCCTCGTTTTCAGGCTCTCCAGCGCGTAGAATCGAACCTTTTGTCGAAGCGGGACTGCCGTGTCTACACTCGCGCCTACCACGAGTTCCACGCCTACATGCGACAGAGTCCCTACGGCTACGGGACTTCAGGCTACGACAAGGCGCACGGCTACCACGCTGCTACGTATCAGAAACACCACTACTACAGGTAAGGCTCTAAAAGACGCGTAGTTTAGCGAGGGGATGTGTAGTTTATCATGCTTGCTAACGACTATATAAATAGATTAATCAAGAAATTATAGCATTATCATAAAATAGGAAAAGGGCGATTCTAAAAAAAAAAAAAAAAAAAAAAAAAAAAAAAAAAAAAAAATGAATATTAAAAACTTGCTTCCTTGTATATTTCAAGATGGTTTTCCACTTATTTTCCAGTCAAAGCATTCCTGACCTCCTTTGTACAGAGTCTTTCGAAACCAAGGCCTGTGTGGTAAGTATTTTTTTCAAAGAAAGCGTGAATATGTAAGGCAGTTGAATCTATAAATCAAATCTTTGTATATACATTTTTTGTATATTCATGCAACACCTTGCTATTTCTGATTTTGAAATTAATACCGCGCTAGTGTAAAGCAATCCCCTTTTGTAATTCTTTTTAATCAATTGTGATCAGTTTATATATGTAAATTAATGGATTGCCATAAGTACGAAGAAGGAATCCTTCGTTTTGCTTACCGCAGCGAGTACTTTCGTAACGTATTTTTCCTCGTAGGACGACCCCGCAGCCGTGCTAGTGTGCCGCCACGCCGCTCTACACGCAGACACCTTCTTCGGCTTCGGCAACCGCGGCTACCGCTACCACGCCCACCGCGGCCACAAGAGGACGAACGCGCGGATCGTCAACGCCTACGGGAAGCACAGGTTCGACAGCGAGAAGTGGTACGTCATGGGCCTCTCCCACAGCCTCTCCCCCTGTTCCGGGAAGGGCCAGGGGAGCTACAGGAAGGGATATGGATCCCAGAGGAAGGACATCAGCGTGTTCACTCCCGTGCACGAGTACCTCCCCTTCATACACGCGCACCTGGATGTCAAGCAGACGGCAGCGCCAACGACGTGAGGCGGCGAAACGCGCGGTAGGGACGTCGAGGCTATGCCGTTTCCCCCACACGGTTTATTTACGAACGAAATCTTTTTATTAACTTTCCCAATAATCGCATAAACTGTATCTAAACTGAATTACCAATAAATTATCATTATTTTTTACTCCTTGATTTCCTAGCAAATATTCCCTACTCCTTAATTTCCACTTTGCAAATATTCCTATTACCTTTTAATAAAAAATGAGGCTTGGTAACATCATGAATTAGAAATGGACTTTGGCATGTTACTCTGAAAGACTAATTTCTTCAAAATGGAAATCTGTTTGAAGCATACAAATAATACTTTTGCAACTACTGGCCTTGAATGTACATAATCGATGGCGTGTTGATTAATTAATAAATAAAAAAAGCATTACTGGTGTAACCCTTGAATAAAAGGTTACTGCATTCTTTAGAACTGCATAAAATACTGCATATATAAAAGGATGCCGCTCGTGTTGCTTAGAAATGTCCTCAAACGTTTGAAATTAGATAAATTTAGAAAATGAAGGAACCAAATTGAAATAAAAGAAAATAGAGCGTATAGCATGAAAAGAAAATTGGACATTCTACTAGCGAAATATTGCAAACGAAACCAGTATCGTACAATATCCACATCTGTAGTTTTACATATGTATATATAATAATCTTAAAAATAAATTAATTCGACATATTGAATATAATCAGGTGCTGGAAGTACATCTTTTTAACGACAGAAACGGTGGAATGAAGCACTTGTCAATAAATTTTGGGGACAATGTTGCAAAACCAGAGAACCACAAACGTTTAGGAAAAAAAAAATCTAAAAATCCGAATACCAGTTTGGATTTCTAAAGAAAATTCACACCCTAAGTGACATGAATAGAATGAACAGCATACACTATTCAAATTAGGAAAGACCACGAAACCTTATTAACTTTGTCATAAACAAAAATTGAAGGAGCTACATTACCAGAACAGGAAATAATAACAAAAGGAATAAGAACCATAAAAGTTTCAAAGTGCTGTTGGCAGAGTTATTTGGAGGGCCATCCACCATAGCTGATATTACCGGCCAATTCGTCAGCTGTACAGCGCCATTAAACCAGAATCAACGACACCAGTACCCACCCTCTAGCAGACGGGGTCACAGTCGTTACATGTGAACAAGGTCAACAAAACAGGGACAACGTCGAATGCCCCTTTGTGAAGAAGCAAAAAGAAGGAGAAGGAGAGAAAGCACAGATCGGCGAGAGATGAAGCCGTATAAGGAGAGGCGAGGATGATGGCGGGACGGTAGGCGAGAGGCCCCTGCTATACCACCTCCTTTATAATTTCGCCTCTTGTATTAAACTGGAATAAAACCAGATTATTGAATTTCGACCGCGGTCATAACTGTCTCGGGCTTATTGAAAGAGATGGAAATGGTGAGTTAAGGAGAGAAGACAAGACAAGAGAGAAGAGAAAAGGGAAAATGATGAGTAATGGCTGGGTACGTGGGAAAGAAGGGTTGATCTGAATGAGTAATGATGAGAATTTGCGAAACGTGAGTAAAAGCGATCGGAGGCACGGTTTGCATAATATATTAATCCCTTTCGCAAAAAATGGGTAAAAAGAGAGAGAGAGAGAGAGAGAGAGAGAGAGAGAGAGAAGAGAGAGAGAGAGAGAGAGAGAGAGAGAGAGAGAGAAGAGAGAGGAGAGAGAGAGGAGAGAGAGAGAGAGAGAGAGAGAGAGAGAGAGAGAGAGGAGAGGAGAGAGAGAGAGAGGAGGAGAGGAGAGAGGAGAGGAGAGGGAGAGGGTGGGGCAGAGAGCGAGAGGGAGGAAGAAAGAGATGGGGGAGAGCTGAGTAATATTGACGTATCTGATAAGCGCGTAATCCGGATCGTATGACCCCAGGCTCACGCTAGGTAGGCAGCCGCTTTACCCCGTTCGCTCTACGTTTTTCCTGGTCTATAATCATGCTGTTTCATTCAGTATGCGTGCCCCTCATTATCTATCTAATGCCCCGTGTTTGGTTAGGGTAACGTGGGTATGGGAAGCGTGTGAGAACTCAAATTGTTATATTTGATTTGATATATGTGTCCGAGGCGAAATGTGTGGCTAGACTGTATACAAATGCCCCTGAAAAAGCTGCAAAAACTTAACGACTAAATTTGCGAAAGATATCCATATTCTAGCACTGACCCTTTCAATCTGGATAACAAATACAATTTGCATTTTTAGCGACTATTTTACGAAAAAAACAACAAACTGAATAACAAAACCAACCTGGAACCTATAAATTCACACCAGCAGATGCGAAACGGAACTTATACTGCACATAGATATTATACACTGATATGCTAAGAGGTGGAAAAGTTGTGATCCACCAGGACTGGACATGGGCACTGTCTACAACTCCTCCTCCGGTCGTGTGGCCCAGACTCAAGGCCACTTCAAGCCACTTAGGAGTATGACGGGCAGGACAGGACGGGTCCTTCCTTTCCTGACAGCGACATATGTCTCCCCGAGGAAGAATATATATATATATATATATATATATATATATATATTATGTATATATATATATATATATATATATATATATATATATATATATATATATATATATTGATCTAACTAGAAAACTACCCAGGTAATGTGATATTTCAGAATTTATTTCGTGTTACTGGAAACGTGCACATAGCATATCATATATCTATGTGCAGTATATCTATGTGCACACGTATATATATATAATTATATATATATATATATATATATATATATATATATATATATATATATATATATATATATATATATATATATTATATATATTGGCTTCCTAATCGCCATCTTCCTCGAGGGAGACATGTCATGTCGCTGTCAGGGAAGGAAGGACCCCGTCCTGTCCTGCCCGTCATACTCCTAAGTGGCTTGAAGTGGCCTTGAGTCTGGGGCCACACGGGGACCTCCTCGCGACCGAAAACGACCGAGGAAGAGGGTTATCTGATTATCCTGACCTTGACCTGGCCAGCAGGGATCGTGGGATCGGCGGGTTTGTTTTTCTCCTTTTTGAGGGATATTTTTCTTTCATCCTCGCTGTTTGTGTGTCTCTCTCTCTCCTCCCTTCGCCCTCTCTTTTTTCACTCGCTCATCCCTCGTCTCCACTCCCACTGGTTCCTTAGGGTGTGGGAGGAAATGTCGATTTCGATTTTAATCGTACATTTAGGGATTTTAGCTTTATTACTTGCGCATTTAGGACATTTAGCCTTGTTATAACTTGCGCATTTATTGTTATACTGTTGCAACATATCACCGTATATCCAGATGAGCATGCCTGCTATCAGCCCTGCGGGCACGGGGTAGAAACAGCACATCCCGTCCTCCAGCCGAAAGGTCATTTTACGCACATCCTCTTAATTGACGTGGTCGAACCACTTGTTCATACTTGTCGCACCAAGGAAGAATCTCCATAGAAAAGCCCAGGTCCTGCTGGCCAGGTCAAGGTCAGGATAATCAGATAACCCTCTTCCTCGGTCGTTTTCGGTCGCGAGGAGGTCCCCGTGTGGCCCCAGTCTCAAGGCCACTTCCAGCCACTTAGGAGTATGACGGGCAGGACAGGACGGGGTCCTTCCTTCCCTGACAGCGACAGCGACTCCAATCCGGCACAGAAAACGACCGAGGAAGAGAGGTTATCTGATTATCCTGACCTTGACCTGGCCAGGGATCGTGGGATCGGCGGGTTTGTTTTTCTCCTTTTTGAGGGATATTTTTCTTTCATCCTCGCTGTTTGTGTGTCTCTCTCTCTCCTCCCTTCGCCCTCTCTTTTTTCACTCGCTCATCCCTCGTCTCCACTCCCACTGGTTCCTTAGGGGTGTGGGAGGAAATGTCGATTTCGATTTTAATCGTACATTTAGGGATTTTAGCTTATTACTTGCGCATTTAGGACATTTAGCCTTGTTATAACTTGCGCATTTATTGTTATACTGTTGCAACATATCACCGTATATCCAGATGAGCATGCCTGCTATCAGCCCTGCGGGCACGGGGTAGAAACAGCACATCCCGTCCTCCAGCCGAAAGGTCATTTTACGCACATCCTCTTAATTGACGTGGTCGAACCACTTGTTCATACTTGTCGCACCAAGGAAGAATCTCCATAGAAAAGCCCAGGTCCTGCTGGCCAGGTCAAGGTCAGGATAATCAGATAACCCTCTTCCTCGGTCGTTTTCGGTCGCGAGGAGGTCCCCCGTGTGGCCCCAGTCTCAAGGCCACTTCCAGCCACTTAGGAGTATGACGGGCAGGACAGGACGGGGTCCTTCCTTCCCTGACAGCGACAGCGACTCCAATCCCGGCACAGAAAACGACCGAGGAAGAGGGTTATCTGATTATCCTGACCTTGACCTGGCCAGCAGGGATCGTGGGATCGGCGGGTTTGTTTTTCTCCTTTTTGAGGGATATTTTTCTTTCATCCTCGCTGTTTGTGTGTCTCTCTCTCTCCTCCCTTCGCCCTCTCTTTTTTCACTCGCTCATCCCTCGTCTCCACTCCCACTGGTTCCTTAGGGGAGTGGGAGGAAATGTCGATTTCGATTTTATACATTTAGATCTTTAGCTTATTACTTGCGCATTTAGGACATTTAGTCTTGTTATAACTTGCGCATTTATTGTTATACTGTTGC